AAAAATAAAACTAATTGTTATGATTGAAAATAATGATAATTTTGTTTTGTATGAATAAATGCATTGTTTGTTAAATCTGTTGATTATTTATATTAAATTTTGTGTTAATTTATAAGTATTTGTATATAAAGTGCTGTTTTCAATGAAAACCAAACAAAACTGATATTTATTTAGGTATTTATAACTCAATTACAAGTCTAATGAAAAACGCGGTTTAAATTTTAAACTTTAAAATGAATATTAGTCACGAGTGATGACCATGGTCAATTTGGGTTAATTTTCATATANAGTATTTGTATATAAAGTGCTGTTTTCAATGAAAACCAAACAAAACTGATATTTATTTAGGTATTTATAACTCAATTACAAGTCTAATGAAAAACGCGGTTTAAATTTTAAACTTTAAAATGAATATTAGTCACGAGTGATGACCATGGTCAATTTGGGTTAATTTTCATATAACGGTGATGGTCATTCAATAAGTAATGTACCATGGGTGTCCTCAATATGACCACAATATGTTTAAGCTGATAATTTATGAGCTAATTATAAGACAATTTATAATTTGGGTTTAAACATAGTCCAAAAAGTCAATTATTATGTTACATTTAAATGTAATAAAACTTGTAAATAACGTAAAATCATATTTTGTTTAATAACACATTAAATGAAAAATAATATGATTTGTGAACATTAATTCATACATTAGTTATTTTTATGACAAACTTTTTTATTATTAAAATTAGTATATTTTGTCTAAAAATACTAAAAATATATTTTCCTTTTTTGAAAACAAAAATCTATAGAAAATTTATTTTAATTATAATTGAAAGCAATTTCATTGATAAAACAAATTGTCGATTAATTTGAGACATAAATATGTATGAAAAATGTGACCACAAATTGTATGGAAACATAAAAATGCATAAAATTGTTGCCAATAATGGATATAATGGATTGGAATCGTGTATTTGTCGCACATTTAAAGCTTCACTTAAATTGAAGACAAAAATAATGTTTTTGTATTAAAGACCAGAATTAAGCCTAAAATGCGTCATTCAATGCATTCAGTCATCTAAATATGTATTAAATCACTGCTCTCTCTCTCTCTCTCTCTCTCTCTCTCTCTCGCCTTCTCTCCCTCTCCGAATATTGTACACCCGTTTCATGTCATGTATTAATCATATCATTAGTTATTTTTCAAACGAAATCTTAAACCTTAAAATAGGACTAAAACTGATGTTTTAATTCGTTATAAATATCTCTAAATAATGAAATAAATGAACGAAAACTTATTGTTAAATAAATAATTATTCGTTTAATAGTCATAAAGTAATAAAGTTTTATTTTCAACAAACAGAATGTCATAAAACAAACAGAATGTCTGCGAATGGTGTAGAAGAAGATAATTTCAAACCAGTCTTTAAATACTATAAAAACAATGAATACTTGAAGAAAAACGAAGAAAATAAGCAAATAATAGATTTTTCAAATATTGATTCGCAAACACAAGGAATCCGAGAAATTGCAATCAATTCAGACAAATGTGTTGAGACTCCGATTGCACACCAGTTTCGGGATAGAAATGAATGGCAAATGTTTGCAACCGATCTAATCGATGGTCTTTTAGTGGTTCCACAGATTCTGAAAAGAGAGTCATCAAAGAAATGGTTTAATTATTTGTTAGAAGAGCTGCCGTTCGATGAATCCCAACATTTAAAAGCAAACATATCTCTGCCTCCGACCAAACCTATAGAGGACTCGAACCTGCGATGGATTAGCTTTGGTTATCATCACAATTGGGACACAAAAATGTATGACGAATCCAATGGTGGAAGTGCTGTTCCCCTCCCAATACAGCAATTGTTTCAATACATGAGTCTGTCGTTAGGATTTGAGGGATTCCGTGGAGAGGCAGGTCTTATCAATTACTACACTAACAACTCTACTCTGTGTCCGCATTCCGATCATTCAGAACCCAATACGAGTGCTCCGCTCTTTAGCCTGAGTCTGGGCTCGAGTGCTATATTCCTGATCGGAGGCACTACTAAGGGGTCGACTAAACCAATAGTTCCCATATATTTAAGAGACGGTGATTTGTTGATTATGTCCTCCGAATGCAGGCAAGCATTTCATGCGATCCCTAAAGTGTTGAACGACTCGATCGATAATAAAGAGAAGCGAATCAAAAGGATAAACATAAATATGAGACAAATGTATTGATTAGTCAATTGAAAATTTGTTATTAATTATTATTATTATTATTAAAAGGACTTACAGTCAAATTACAATTTAATTAAATTATTTATTTTATTTTAAAATCTGTAAAATCCTACTAACGACTAGAGTTGATGAAAGTGTTTGTATTGTAATTGAATTGATTTGAATTATATTGTATTGTATTAGCCCTAAACCATTCCAATTATAAACTAAATTCATTTAATTATTATTTATATAATAATATGGGTTTTGTATGGTTTGATGGTTTGCTGCCGACGTTTAGAGTCATAGGTATAGAGTCTAAGAATTATCACTATTTACAAGACGTGGCACTCAATCACTTGAAGAATGCATAATAAAAATTAGAGAATTGTTTTTTTGGAGCAGAAATGAGTCCGAAGTAAGCAATGATTCAAAAGCAAGAATTGCACCAAAAGGTGATGTAATGAATGGTTTTGATAACTGTTGGAACGATAGCTTCTTTCTGTCTGTGTTTTTCACTACTTTGATGAGAATATATCAGAATTTACTGGTATTTTGTTGTCAATTATTGTAATTTATTATTAATCAGCAATTCATTCATCGATCGTGTCTTGAGAATCGTCTCGAATCTGATTCCGATCCCAAATGTATGTAATGTTTTGCACTTCCAGTGATTGAATGATTCGATCGATTCTTGTGATGAGCCAACAGTTTTCGGAGGAAATTATTATTTTTCTTATAAATGACTTATTTATGAATTCAATCTTAAAAATCACTGAATTCTTTCGCACACTTTTCAGAACTCGATATGCGGAGAGTCTCCTCTTCGTAGTCATCAAAGTTGGACGTATCGCCCGGTCCTTTACATTTGGGCAGAAACGGCGCCTCAACCTAACAGACCATCAGTAGAGGCAGTCATAGGGGAGAGGGAGGAAGACATGGAAAACAATATTTACAAGTGTTTATTAATTCTCTTTCATAACGTTATGCTAAAAATCTTTAAATTCTTCGGTGAAACAGTTCTCGACATTGCGTCGACTGAACACCGATTTCGGCAATTCTTCGTATTGTTCGAAATGACGAGTGTCTCCACTATGTGTAAGCTTAGGCACGAGAGGCACTCTCGGCAGCTAAGGTCGGGTGAGGCGGTGGGCGTGCAATGGAGTGACAGTCAAATGCATGCATTTTGGATCAATGATCAGTACCCGAGCAGTGAGTATTGAATTGAGTATTAGTGCAAAAAAGAGGAGTTATTTGTAATGCAATACAAGACATGCAAATAAAAAATGCAAAATTATATTAGTTTTGATTAGATTGTGAGCAAAGGTTTCTACTATTGTTAGTAAAGCATTGGTTAATCACATCGGATAAACTCGTTCACTGCAGACAATATATCAATTCACATGAATATACCTTTTTCTGGTAGACAGCGATCCAATCGGTGGAACTGAACCATCGATGACCTTTGATGTCGTTGACGCCGTTCTTAAGATTGCCGTAGCGTTTAGTTAAGTCGACTTGTAATAGATTTCTCAATAGTTCTTTCAGTTCGGAACTAAAATGCGAGGGAAAGCGAACTTTTCCCGACACTATCTTCTCGTATATTTGAATTGGTTGGTCAGCAAAGAATGGCGGATAACCGGCTGCCATCTCGTATATCAGTACACCTAATGCCCACCAATCTATCGCATCAACACAACTATTAGTTAGCAATTCACTACTAATCGTAAACAAGTCATTACATACCGACAGCTTTGTTATATCCCTTTAAAAGTAAAATAATACAAAATATAATTAATTTTCAATACAAACACAAGCGATAAATAATCAATACTTTGCTTAAAATTATTTCTGGCGCTAAATATTCAGGAGTCCCGCATAGAGTCCATGTCCTGCCCTTTACTCGTTTGGCGAAACCAAAATCGGTTACCTATTGAGTGATGAGTAATGGAAGAGATGATAGTAATGGCAATGGGATGAGGGTTGGGGCGAAGGTGTGGTATACCTTGATATATCCCTGCTGATCAATTAATAAGTTTTCGGGCTTTAAATCGCGATAAATGAGATCTAAATAATGCAAATATTCAAACGCTAAGACGATTTGTGCGGCATAGAAACGGGCCGCCTGTTCACTGCCATCCCAAACGTCAATATAACAAAACATGGTTTAGTATTTTGATTACCATTTCAAATGAATCAATAATTTAGAGCTCAAAGCACAAGCAGAAGGACATAAACATTGAATAGTTTGGAAATAGAAAGTAAAAGATGGACAAAAGTGGTTCACATATACAGGACAGAGAGGGAGGGAGAGAGTTGAGAGAGCATTACCTAAATCTTCCACTTTTCCTGAGGTGTGAGAACATCTCTCCTCCGGGAACGTACTCGAGAACCATATATAAGTAGGAATTGTCCTACAAATCAAGTCAAACACATCACACAATCACAAACACAGCCATAAACACAGTGACAATAAGTAGTTTAAATGCGACAATTGGTTCACAAATTCACGCGTTTTACAGATTTTTGTTCATTTTGTTTAAAAACGAGAAAAATAGAGAAAAACAAAAAAGAAAACAACAAAAAAGTGGTGCGTTTGAGCTTTTAATGACAAATTGTAGTCAACTGTACCTAAACTTTCCTATTCGTCTTAAATGGGAGAACAATTCTCCTCCCGGAACATAATCCATAACCATATATAGGTTACTATTATCCTAATGAGTCAATCAATCATCAAATCATTTAGTAAATCAAAACAAAAACATTTCTTTCTGTTTTGGTGATTCAATTATGGTATGAATCGCACCAAACATAGTGTTTCTTAATTAAAATCAATTGAAACGTGATTGAAATAAAGGGCTAATTGTTAATTGAATGATTAATGTAAAAAATGTGTGTATTTAAAGGGGCCCATGTATAAATGGGTGTTTGCATACCTTGAAATGTGCATCGAGGTGAACCAGGAATGGGAAGTCGACCGCGTGTAAAATTCGTTTCTCATTTAAAGTGTGTTCCACTTGTTTTAGTTTCACTACCTATACGTTCAAAACACATCATTTCATTAAATTTATATCTCTTTGCAAACACTTAAAAATCACAATTCATTATCATTTCTATAGAAAAGTATAAAAATCGATGAAACAAATATAAATTGTATTATAAGTTACTTTATTCTCAACACTACTGCACTATAAACTGTGCTAAAAGCCTAAATCAATACAGAATAAGTACATAAAGTGCATAATTATTCTTACTTTTTGTTTGTCTAGTATTTTCATAGCAAAATATTTGCCCGACTCATTGCCGCCCTGTTTGCGCTGCACAAGCATTACCCGCCCGAAAGAGCCGGTGCCTAACGTCTTGATCCGGTCGTAATCATCGAGTGATGCCGTATTAGACGATGGAGTACTCCATTTCTTCTCGAAATCCTCTTTCGCTTTCTCCAAAAATATTTTGACTGCAATTATATTTAGCAATACTATTAGCACTTCAACTCATAAACAGTTAAGTATTACAGTTAACACTGTTTAATACTCTATGGTTTCATATGAATGATTGACAATATGGGAAAGGCATGTAAGAGTCGATACATTTCATTAGCAATTTACACTAATCCTAAACATAATTGTGTTTATTTGGGGTTATTTGATATTTTATTTGATATAGCAATACTGTATACATGTATGGTATAAATGTATAAAATAGCTGTTATATTGAGTCCAAACATTAGCTTAAATTTATAAAAACAACATTTTTGTAATTTGGATAAAAATGTGATAAAATTACAAATTCATTCAAAACGTGTAGTACTCTTACAATCATTAAATTTCAAGTTTATTTCATATTTTAAATAATCAATTCAAATAAACAGTGGGGAAAGTGATGGGGGGTTGACTTATAGTACTTATACTTATATTAATAGATTACGACTATTTTGGTTATAATTTAAATAAAGTAGAGTATTATGTTATAAAGGGTTGTGATTATGTAATTATGCGCTCAATTGAAATGTATTTAATTTCATACAACTGTGCTGTTGATGAGAGGGAGGGATAGGAGGGGTGAATACAAGTGATGGTAAAACACATGAATTGAGACAAATTTACTGTATATTTATGCCATTAGGATATATAAGTAAAACTATGTATTTTTAGACTGTTGTCAATCGAAACATAAACTAATCTCAATCTCTCGACTCATAAAAGATTTTAGTGTTTTTATTGCAAAAATTCTTTGAATTTTCCTAAAAGTTTATAAAAGAGTGCAGAAAAATAAACTATAATTTTGTTTCTAAAGCAATGAAATTACGGTTAAAATAATGAGATAGATATGAGTTGTCGACTAATTAAACAAATATAACGTTAAAATTGTGCAATAAATTCTGTGTTCAATTTAATATTATTTTTAACTCTATTCAATTTCAATTGAGTTTTAAATCAAAATATTACTCAATGTATATATGATTAAAATATGTGATTTAATTTCTATTTATATATAAATTCTATTTAATGGCATTTAATCATAAAGTATAGACATTTTAAGCACAAACTATGCGATTGAAGTTCAAAATGTGTTGAGATTTATATTAGCATTTGATAAGTTATATAATCTATTGTTGTATAGCATATAATGGCATATAATATAAGCGCAAATACATTCCTCGTTATCATTGCGACTATAATTCAGTGAATATAACTTGTGATCGCTTTATATGAATCCCATTTCATTCTTATGCCAAAAGTCAACACTTTATTGCTCTTTAAATAACATTTCAATAAATTATAATCAAATGAATATCAAAGCAATTGGTTTATAATTAGTCAGCAATTAATGGCCGAAAACGACATTTAAATTATGAAATGTGTGTAACTCTATAAGTGTCGTAAAACTCAGTACTTGTATTGTATTAATTAATACATTAATTTATTGCTTTATTCACATCAATGTATTTCTTTATCAGTAATGAAGATACCCTTTATTTTAAAGTATTATTCAATTAATACACACATTATATCTAAATTTGCCATCAATTCAGAGCATGTAATAAACGGATTGCAAATATAATGTTAGAGACGACTGACTTATTTCACTGCAAACTATTATTGCAGTCATAAATCGATTGCAATATTCACTCCTTATATCTATTATATTAACAAAACTATTAAATAAAACTCATCTCTCGTCTCACCATCTCCTCTATAGCCACGGACCACATCTCTCCCCTCCCTCTCACCCTCTCTGCACAATACACCATCTCATATGCTCTCTCTCTCTCTCTCTCACGCAATGTTATATCGATAGTTGACTCCAAAGAATAGTGATTTCGATTTCAAGGCCATTAAAAGTTATATTCAATCCAAAATATACTAAACATAACTATTGTATTAATAAATATTGTCACAAATATTGTATTTTAATTAATTATTTGTCAATGTATTGAGAAAGTGGTGAATCACACAATGTATTTGCGTCCATATTATCATCACATCATTCCTACAACTTATATATTGAAATGAAAGTACACTTCAATATAACTAATGTTTATCCAAATCTATGTAAATATAAATAGTCTTTAAAAAACAGTTTCATATATTAATAGCGCAGAAGGAGTTCAGCTATTTTTATATCATTTCAAACACCATTTCATGCATTCATTTGCATAGCATGTATAGTACTGGGAGGTGTGGGGGTTGTGGGGGCTGAGGGGCACCACCCCATGGATTGCAGTCAATTACAATTGCCATTCAATCCACTCAATCCTATCACTCAATGAATGGCTGGCATTGCAATGGCATAGCAATGGAGACAAGCGTTTCCTATAGACTGTACTGTAATTGCGGTCAGAGTTAACACAACACACTCGCTGTGGCTGTGGTGGGGGTTGAGGGGGGCTGAGGGGTGTGTGGAGGGGGTGTTAGTGTTAACTTACCATTCTCGGTGGGGTCTCCCTTTTTATTGGAGGGTGCATTACCCATAATAACAACACTAACACACTATAAGCACAATTCAATGATATATACAACACAACACTATTTCATACGACAATTCACTAAATAGTGACAACAATTCAACACTTATTGCGATAACATTATTAACATTATTATGATTACAACGGATTGAACACAACATTCAAACTGTAGATCACTTTTTGGCCACAAATACATTACAATTAATCCATAATTCAATTCATTTCAGTACTCCATATATACATAACATTACCAATACATCCAATGCCTGTATATATACACAGCAATCTATACCACTATATACTGCATATACTCTATAACCACTCAATATATATACATGTATTACATGTATATATTATATTCCTGTATATGTGGTGTATATATATTCGCATACATGTATATATACTGCATATATATAGCTATAGTATCTATACGTATATATATTAGACCACTATCTGGTGTTAAGTGACTAAACAGTCGAGCGATACGAACGCCAACTACAGTACAGAGAGAGCAACCGATCGCTCCAATGGCCGACACTCTCTCCCCTCTCACCACTCGTACACTAATTACGTCCACATATGGGACACAAACTCAGGATTGCATTATTGATGTGCGAAGACATCGCCGAACAGCCGACACACCAAACAAGTGGCAATTTTGAGACCATATTCTCCGATATATAACACATTTATCCCATAATTATTACACTATATTCTCATCTCAAGAGTGATGTCTCGCAAACAAATCGGCGTTTCATTAGTTTTCATTCAAATCAATGCAAAGTATCACTCAATACATGCGCCGACTTATGAAGCAGTGCTTCGGAGATACAACACATGAATGAATAGGGTTGGGATGACTGGGGGTTAGAATCGGGGGCTGAAAACATATGTAATATTAGATGATGTAGTGAACAAACATATAGGGGTGGGTTAGGGGCACACTGAACGTGGCACACATACATTACAGTGTATTGTATAACAAATAGGATTTGATTATTTGGGGATTGTGTTGGGCCACATAAACATATGCATTCAAACACATTAGCAACATGTTCATATTTGTACACATAAATTAATTGGCTATACTGTAGTAATAGACACTTAAGCATGATTTCATAGAATTACTCACAAATAATCTAACTTATATAATACATAAATATACAGTATTAGTGCAGTTGAATATAAGTTTCAAATAACTTATTTATGATCAATAATTTGCTGTCTTTTATCTAATAATTCATTGATCACTTGAATCGGTGTCTATTTGGCACAGATTTTCATATGAAATAGAAATAATAGCAATTTATAAATAAATTATAATACATAATAATAAATTCTTCAGAATATTTTAAAAAATATTCCCCTGGTTAAAAATATTCGTGTAAAACTTTGGGTAAAAAGTTGACATAACTAGGATCATTTTTATAAGATTTATTTTAAACATAAACAAGGTTCACACACAATGCTATACGTTAACCACAATTCGGGAAACACATCAAAATTTCAAATTTTTCAAAGCTATTGTTAGGTCACTTAAATATTGTTATTTTAAGAATTTTAAAATTGTAACAACAATTGGTTTATTAAAATTTCAGAAATCCGTAGAAAAAGCATAATCTCGATCATTATCTCTATACAAAAAGCATTATTTCATAGGAATAACATTACTCCCATACCCATATTTAACCTATGTCATAGACTTAAGCTGTAATTCCATAGAAACCCATGTTAAAGAGTCTCATGATATTTTTAAAAATGTTTAATTGTACAATTTTGGGCCAATTAAGCATTACCATTCGACAAATCCCTCTGCAACAGATTGTTCGTACAGAAATCGTACAAAATTTTTATCATATAACAGAATAACAGTATATAAAATTGCAGAAACCTTGTTAAAAATATTTACAGAAAACAAATAATGCGACAGAAATTCCAATAATTTCCTTACCATCGATACAAATGTGAAATATATCACAATTATTAATACCAATACCACTGAAATACATTAAAAACCACTAAAATGTTAATTATAGTGATTTTAAATAAACTAATTATAGCTAATAACGTCTGATAATGCATAAAAAAATATATTATTTAAAGTTACACCATACATTCTAATAAATTGTAAAATGTAATTTTGAGTAATTTACCGTAAGATTTAGTAAAATTAAATTTTTAAATAAAAGATCAATATTTAATATATAACTACTAATTAATTATGTTCAATCACTATAATGCTAACAATAGCTTCAGAAGTGTTATTAAAGTAATAATTACTTGAATATTATCTCAATTAAAACATAATATGTCATGTTAACAAATTGCAAGTAATAGTTTTATGTAAGTTAAATGACTTGAATTTAGTGGTAATTAACTTTAAGATTAGTAACATTTGGCACAACACTAATTATACGTAAA